TTACTTACTTACTTACTTACTTACTTACTTACTTACTTACTTACTTACTTACTTATACCGCCCATCTGGCGGAGGCCACTCTGAGCAGTTTATATATTTGTGTATGAATGTATGCATGCATTTCCAATGTTTATATACTGTCCAACTGGTAATGCTTTCACAGTGGTTGACAAATGTAAAAACAGAAGCTATTAATAACTTCATGGGGTTTGCAGTCAAAGCAAGTGAGATATACTGGTCCAGGTATTAAATATCGGCATGTTAAAGGCCAGCAATCATCAGCACAATCATCATTTTAGACCCTATGGATCACTGAGTCTAGCTCCTCCCAAGGAAGCACAATTCTAGCCCACCAAATGCACCAGCCCTGTTAGTCACAGGATGGACAACAGCATGGAAAGTCCATACATGAATGCAGGTTATTCACATTGGGCTTCTCCATGCAAGGAGAACTCCTGGGGAAATTAGGATCTATCTTGGTTTAAAACGGTCTTATACAGTCACATAGGGCAACTTCCACAGTACTTTTACTCTCATGCCGATTGAGCAGCTGTTGTGTCAGTGTAGACAGGACATGCATCAGCTTGAAAAGCTGCAGATGGAGGACAAAATTGTAGTCCCTTGCCCCATATATTCATTAAAGTGCTAGGGAAGTCACATGAATCTCCTTCTAACTACACTGATCTAACACCTATTAGGAATGGGTAGCACAGGAATGGGTGCCGATGTCCCTCCCATGTGTTGTACTGCTGCTTCTATTTGCCCTAGCCAGCCTGCCCAATGATGGGCCAAGGGCCAGAGATGCAGGAAGTTGCCATCCAAGAGCATCTATAGAGGCACAGTTTTTCATCTCTTATGCAGTGGTACTAGAGGTTCAGCTTGCCAGACAGACAGCTTTCTTTTTACAGCCCATATTCTCTTTGTAATATAATTGTCTTAAAAAATAAAAGACATCTAGGTAAATGGTCTAAGTTTAATCATACTGTCTGCCAGATGAGATATAGTTCTGTTCTTCTTGATGGGAGAAAACATCCATACATCTGAATTGCAAATCTTAAGACCTGATGAATGTTACATGATACAGCCTGAAAACAGGAAAGCCGCAATAAGGTTGCTGATATTTATTTTGCTTACTTTATTTCAATATTTATTTAAATATTTATTTTACTTTATATTGCATTTTTATCCCCTCTATTAAAATGTAGCACATAAGATGGCTATAAAATGATACTAAAAACAGACTAAACAATAATATTATTTAAGTTATTACAATGAACTGTAAAAAGCTGAACAGAGGACGTGACCAGTTGGAATCAGCATATCTTCTCTTCCTAACCAAAGCAACAAGAGTGGGAAGTGATTACCATTCTGAGTAGAGAGCTCTTTGGGAGACCTCTTTCATCACCCCTTCAAGTGGGTTTTTACATACATTGGTATTCTTAGGAGGACTCCTTTTGACGATTTTAAGGTCTAGAGAAATATATGAGACTGCTGGTCCCTTATATAGCTAAAGGCAAAGGTATTTGGTTCTTTAATAGTTTGAACCAACCCTTTGAGTTGGGCTAACAAGGGAGCTGGCAACATGTGCAAGTCTGTCAGTAGCAGATTAATATGATCTCTATCACCCTATTAGCAGTTTAGCAGCCACCTTTTGCAGTAACTGAAGCTTCTGGATACTTTTTGAGGGTATCCATGATGGATGTGTTGCAGTAGTCATACATGATGTAACTAAGGCATGAATTACCATTGCTAAGTCAGATCAATTAATCAAAGATTGTAGCTGGCAAAAAAAGTATTCAAAAGCACTCCTCACCATCACAGCCAGGAGAGTAAAGAGTGAAAGTGTACTCTCAGACTAGGAACCTGAACTTCTAATGAGGATGCAACCCTTTCTAGAGCACAATGAATCCTCATCACCAAGTAAGACTTTCTACTGACCAGCAGCACCTCCATCTTGCCAAGGTTTAACCCCAGCCTGCTCATCGTCATCCAAGTCATTATCAAACACAGGCAGCTTTCAGTAGTATTGGCCACTTCCTTTCACACTGGGAGCATATATTTCACTATCTGACACAGCAGTCCAGTCTCTCAGAAGGAAGCTTGCCCAAAGCAAGTGTGTTTAGTGTTGCAGCTTACATTCTGTTGATTTAATAGTTGCATTTTCAAAAGGGATCTAACTGGCTACTGATCCAATTACTTCCTTCACTGGCTAATAACCCACTTTGGCTTAAAGAGGCTTGAAGGAATATTAGTGAAAGACTAAACAAATGAAGGTGAACGAAAAGGATAACAATGACGTGCATTATGATAGGTGCAGTTTTTGCTGAATGAAAGAAGGTGGCTGATTGCACTGGGGAGCAGAGAATAGTGCCTCTGGCTGCCAATAGAGGGACAACTATCAAATCTCTCCTACTTCCCCTAGTAATGCTTTTAGGATCCTAATGCTTATCATTTTACAGATGTTCCTGCAAAATTAGAGACAGATGTTTCTGTCTCAAGCTTTTTCTCAATCTCATAACTGATGAGGCTACAGCCTCTCCCACTCCTCACTCGGTGTACAACCTATCTGACCCACTGGCAGAGAAATTCTGGAACTTTTAATCCCAAAGTATCTTTTTCAAGTTGTGAACAAGAAATCATCCCCATTTTTAAAAATTTTCATTAATGTCTGGAAGGCAAGATGTGTCCCCCACCCACCCACCTCTGCCTGAGATAGCTAGGTGCCCATTATCACTCATGCAAATTATCTCACAAAAAATAAAAATAAAAATGCTACTCTTATGCCATAGCAATTACGTATGAGATATTCACCTGTCACTTGTTCAGAATACAACCCATTTTAGACAGGTGCTTCAAACTGCAGAAAGGAACAGAAGCTGGAAACTTTTTCAACAGTATCCTGGTAAGACCATTATTGCAAGCTGATGTTTCATTTATAGGTCATTCAGTAGCCGTTAGGGGACCACAGACCTTTACAGGTTATTGCACACTGTTACATTCCTAAGCCCGATTCTCACTGCAAGAGAAATTTATGTTTGCCTGGTAAATATGCAGACCTTGACTTTGTCTGGCAATGTGCCACTAATGGCTGCAATATCTTCTATCCACTCTAAAAGATGCTATTCACAAAGAAGTAGAACTGAGAGGCTTGCATTTAAGTGGCTTTACTAATCTTGCAAACTTTCTATGTTGAGTAAGGTCTTGGTCTTATGCTGTCTGACATGCTGGTACCAGTAGCCAGGGATAAGGCGTCTCAGTGTCATTCTAAGAGAGATCATTTCCTTTGCTTTACTGGGAGGTGGCTTCATTCCTTGTACTGGCATTGCTGTTAACATTCTTGCTGTAATGAAAGATTGCTATAAAACTGATAGGGCAGTGGTTCCCAGCCTTGGGTCCCCAGATGTTCTAGGACAACAATTCCCAGAAATCCTAGCCAGCACAGCTAGTGGTGAAGGACTTTGAGAGTTTTAGTCCAAGAACATCTGGGGACTCAAGGTTGGGAACCACTGTGATATGGATAACCCCATATGCCACTTGAATGAAATGGAAGAAGGTCGGGGATATGTGAATAAACCACTCATTGATTTGAATGAGTTTGGAGGCTTGCTCGGTGTACTCTTTATTAATGCTAATCTGAAGAATCAAGAAATGCATTTTGCATTCACCTTGTTTAAATTTAAATGTACATTTAAAATATTGGTTGAAATTTCTGGTGAAAATCTGTGGAAGGCAAAAAATGGAACTGTGCTACTTGGCTATGATCAATAAGGCTCCCAAAAGAAATTTGAGCTAACTCAGTAGAACTATTGAGGTTTTTCCTCATTCTTTCACCCTTTGCTTCTATGATGTCTATGCAGGAAACCAGCAGTGTTGTGGTTTCAGAGTCACTATGGAGTTGAGGGTCCAATAGCAGAGCCAGGATTGAGAATTGTTTCTTCTTTGGACTACAACTTCCAGAATCCTCCATTCAGCTAGCCTAGCCATGCTCTATGGGGGATTCTGGGAGGTGAAGTACAAAAAAGAAACATATCTATTAGAGTGTAGTTTTACCCAAGGTCCAAGGCAATGAAAAATTAGGATTCTCCACCATTTCCATCCATTTCATTAAAGGTTATGAAAGAAAAGTTCCAGAAGAAGTCATCTGTTGTATGACATGCAAAATAATCATTAAGAAATTGGTGTGGATTTCACATAAACAGGAACATTTTCTGGAAATGTTTATTCACACATGAAGAGAAGATCCCCACCAACAGTCTTTCATTGTTGAACTACAAAATACCTTGCAGTAGTTATGGCGGTACTTGTTATTCTTGCTATTGATAAGTTAGAGCTCTGCAGGATGTACAAGATCAGGATCACTACCATGCAAAGAGGGGCTTTATTTTTTCCCCCCTTCCTTTATCACAGTCCAGGCAGAAATATTAACCCTGAAGCTACTTTTCCTGCAAATGGGTAGCTGCTAGTGGCATCAACAGTTGTTCCCTTCCTGCGGTTAATACAAACTTCCGTAATAAAGGGGATAGTTTTCATTGTGACTCCATCTCTCTCTTTATGCACTGTGGTCCCGGTTTAATTCTTCTCCTTCCTACCATTTAACAACAACAAACCAAAGAAAAGCAGCCTAGTAATCACATAGTTTGACCTTCACCTTCCAAATCTCAGAGTGCTTTCATGTTGAACTTTTCATTCAACATCTTCTAGACATCTATGTGAACACCTGTGAGTCAGCAACCTGGGTCTGAAGCCTCAGTAGACTGATTCACATTGTCGTGGACATCACTTGAGATAGTGATCCCTGGCAGCCAAATATGTAAACAGAGTCAATTGAAATCTACTGCAGATGGTTAAATTCTGTCTTTGCACTCAGACTAGATGCCTACTCATGCTGGCAGCAGCCATCATGTGACAAACCTCGGTCTATGAATCCTAGTGACATTTCTGGCAAGGGCAGAATCTAAGAACTCTGCAGAATCATCTCCACTGAACAAAACGGTTTTAAGGCAACGAAAAGAAATTGTCACACACTTCTAAACAGGCTAGAAAAGCAAAGTGTAACATCAGATTGGTCAAGGTACATCATGTCTGTGTGGGATCTGATGCCATTTTCTCCTTGCATATCTACTGTGTGTGAAATCAAGACTCAGCTCCAATGTGAGAGTCTCAGGTCGCAAAGGGAGAAATGAACGGACCACAGTTGTCAAGTAGGAACAGTCTTTGTGTTAGTTTTGAGTCCATACTGTCACATCAGTTCAGTGCAAGAGGAAAAAAAAGGGTGGTAGAAATGAACTGCTCACGTTAAGGCTAGGAATCTAGAAAGCAGTTCACCTCTTGACAGTGATGGCAATAAAACACACACACGCGTGCGCATGCACACACACCGCCCCTGTTATGTTAGTTTGTACCTAGCTCTTCACAGGATTCAAGATCTCAGTTTGTAAACCATCATTCTCATTCTGTTGTATTCCCCCCCCCGCATCTCTTACTTTACATATGTCTCTTAGGTAGCTGTCATCCTTTCATATAAATTAGTAGCACCGGTTTCCAAACCTTTCCAGTGGCTGATGTTTTCAAACCACTGAGTTCTTGCTCCACAGAATATCTTAAAATAAAGTTAGCCTTTCCTCCCATTATCCCATCTATCTGCCACTCTGAACCAGCCTGAGCTGTGACTGGAGATGGCTAGCTTGACAAGTGTCAAACGGCGACAGCTTTTTCCTTACCATGATGGCCTCTGCTTGCTTGGAGTCCATCTCTGATACCGCCCGACGGAAGCCTTTGGCTGAAGAACTGGAAGAGTTTGGGGTTGGCATGCTTGCTGGTGTCCTGGATCAGCTTTCAGCACTGCTTTCCCTTCTCTTGCAGGGCTTTTATAGGGCATGTCTGACGTCAAAGACCCTTTCCTATCCCCCTCTGCCCACCTCCCTCCCATCAGCCTGAGGGAAAGGAAAAGGGAGGAGGGAGGAGATACAGGGGAAAGAAGTGCTCGAGTCCCATTAAACCTAATTGCTGCAAAGATTACAAGCATCCACCTTCTGCAAACCTTCTGTTGGCATTTCTCCTGCACCCCAAAGTATACGAGAGGTGAAAGACTCCCCCTGTGCTTTATTGAGCTCACTGTGCAGACTGTCTGTTGCCTCCGACTAAACTGCACTGGGAATAAACGAAGGTCCCTATTCACATTGTTAAAGATCAACCACAAAAGAAGGAGAGAGTGATATAATCTTAGAACTGCAGAGCTGAAAGGGACCCTATTGATCATCAGGTCCAGCCCCTGCCAAGGAGGCATAGTGGCAAATCAAACTCCCAGGCTGTGGCTCTACAAATCTCTAAATCACTGAGCTAGTTAGCAGTGTTCCTCTAATCATATGGATCTCATCAGTATTCCTCCAATCATATGCATACGAAAAGGGAGGGGGGTTCAAATAGGATCTAAGACTTGTGCTGGCGATTTGTGACACGATTAGTGTTGGTTCAAGCATCATCAGCTAATTAATTGGGACAGAGGGTCACTCCTATGGCAAATGGCACACTCAGCTAAACTACTGACCTTGTATATGGGCTGGTATATAGTCCCCCCCCCAGCATTGGGGGCTGTCTGTTTCTGATCACCTACACAAGAACAGGGAAATGAAGGGCTCTTGTCCAGGGTTGGAGTCAGAAAGCTGTAACTGGATTCTTCTGAAGTGCGCATTTTAAAGTTTGACCCATTTCAAAGCAATTCTCCACAAAGGAGAAAATCTTTTACCCTGTTATCCTCAAGATCAGTGGTCCCCAACCTTGGGCCTCCAGATGTTCTTGGACTACAACTCCCAGAAGCCTTCACCACCACCTCTGCTGGCCAGGATTTCTGGGAGCTGAAGCCCAAGAACATCTGGAGGCCCAAGGTTGGGGACCACTGCTCAAGAGGACCTGCCAGGATCTCTATGACTTTTGGCGCCAAAATATGACAGCAGGTCTAGTTGCCTTGATATTCATTACCCACCCAAAAAACCATCGGACCAGAAGAAAGAGCCATGAAATGAAATATTTTTTACCCACCCTCTGAGTTATGATAGGTTACTCTTGATTGCAAATATGCCTGTGGTGGAATATCTTCTTGACCTGTGGCAGAAGCTAGCACAGGACAGTAGTAGAAGTACAGTCGATCCAGTGGCAGGAGTTTTCAGTGTGCCAAGTGTCAATCAATTGTGTAGCTTTTCTGCTGAGTCTGGGAGTGGGCCCATAAGAGCATCTATTCAGTCATGGCAGGCATGCATCCTGAAAATGGAGGAATGGGGAGAGGAGAGAAAAGTCCTGTTTTCAGGATTCCTATCACAAAATTGTTAAAAAGGAGGGCAGGCTGAGGTTCCTTGGGTGTTGGCAACTTTCTGCTCTGCTCACCATGATCCTTGAAAACCAACCTACAGTGGTGGGTCATTTTCCTTAGATGGGGAAGAGTATCCAATTGTGGGACAGGAGGAGTCATTTGAAATTTTATTCAGATCGTAACAGGATAAACTGGAAGGAGACTCAGTGTGGTATGTTTTTGCAGTTGGTATTTAAATATTTCAGACAGCCAAATACATTAGTCCCCAGCACTTGAGGGCTTTTTATATGTCATAGTTGGCACCATGACCTATAAATAACAGGTCAAAACACCAATATGATCTGTTCTTGTTCATGTTAGAATGTAGAACTCTCTACATATTTGCAAGATACTGTACATGCAAGATTCAAAGTTGCTGGGATTATCTCTGAGCAGGAAATGGGCATATATGAAGAGGCTTCTAATGCACGTTGCTTGACTCTTATCATGGAAGGCAAGAAACAATTCACAAAATCAGGCACCAAGACTCCAGCACCCATGTCTTCTCCTTCAGTACTGATGTCTAACACAGAGATACACAATTGCTAGCCTGTATCCTTTCAACCATGGTGTCTGTGTTATGCTGGCAGGAACAGGATTTGACCATTGTGTTTAATATGATGATGGGTTCATCATGTGTCTATTTAATATTATGTATACCAATTTGATTGTGGAAATTTGATTTGTTTAGTTGTCAAGTACAACTTCCTTTTCTTTTTTCCTTTGAAACATTATGTGGGACAAACATATCCTATCCTTTAAGGTTTTGTCCCTCTTTGAGCTTTACATACAATGTCAAAGTCATAGCAATTCAGAATATCTATTTGTCATTCATTTACAATAAAAGGATGTAAATCTTCATTTATTTCATTTTTACAGATGAATATTTTAAAAAATCAAAATCTTTCTGCCCACTAGGCAAATTACAAGAGTTTTTGTACTCTTTATTATGGGACCTCTTCTGTAAAAAAATGTCACAAAGGTAGCTTTTGTGCAAAACCCCTGGTATTGCACAAAATACGAGGACTTTTTTTATCAACAACATATGCTGCTGACTAATTCTTTGCGGGAATGAAAAAAATGTAGCAGTCAGTTCATTCAACAGAGAATCCCAATGTATCAAGACTCTCTCCTTCATCAAGGGCAAGAATGTTTTTACAGATGAATATTTTAAAAAATCAAAATCTTTCTGCCCACTAGGCAAATTACAAGAGTTTTTGTACTCTTCTTTTCATTATGGGACCTTTTCTGGAAAAAAATGTCACAAAGGTAGCTTTTGTGCAGAACCCCTGGTATTGCACAAAATACGAGGACTTTTTTTTTATCAACAACATATGCTGCTGACTAATTCTTTGCGGGAATGAAAAAAATGTAGCAGTCAGTTCATTCAACAGAGAATCCCAATGTATCAAGACTCTCTCCTTCATCAAGGGCAAGAATGTCTGTGATTATTTATTACATCTGTTTTCATTTCACAGCATGGCACTCATTGAGCCCACGCATGCCATTATATTTGTTCCCACCCTACTGAAGCAGAGGGTCTGAAGCTAGGAGTCTGCTCTACATTGCACTGGCTTCTTGTGCGATTTCAAACACTTATCATGCCAATTCTAAGTCATGTGGGGAGCCTATACTTGTAGAACAAGCTCTTAAGTTCAGACATTCCATCCCAATATTGCAAAAAAATTTTTAAAAAGGTTTTAAAAACCTTTAAAGATGTTTGAAAACATTCTGTAGTAACAATTTAAAAACCAGTTTTGGAGACCTTTCAAAACAATACAGTTTTATGGCTACCTACTAACACCCCATAAGGGCAGACCTGACCTGATTTCTCCTGGAAGGGACTTCCAGAGTCAAAGTGTTCTTACACCTAGCTTCTCAGGGTGTGGGAGACATAACAGATCCTCTGTTGAGGATCTCAAAATCTAACCAGGCAAATATGGAAGATAACCATTAAACTGGTGATCCAGGAAATGACACAGTGGCAGGGCTGGAGTCAATGGTCTCTACCTCTCAAATGACTGGAATCACATCAGTAAATTGACCTGAAGAAACAATGACATGGCTGAGTAAGTTTCAGATACTTGCCACAATAGAGTGATACCATGAATATTCCAGATGTTTAGAGGACTATTAATTTACCTGAGAATCACTTGGAAATAACTTTTCTACCTCAAGCCTTCTCTTCCAATTCAGAACCTAAGGCCACCAAACATATAAGTACTGTGTTCACCATGACAGGAACACAGGTATTCCTAGAAAGAAATCAGTCTTTCCCTGATTCCAGAATAAATTAAATTATGAAAACTCCTCAGATTTACAAATTATATGCAAATTTGTATTGGCTAAAACAGATAGACAGCCAGCTCACAGTTTACCTTACTTGTGAATACAAAACATTGGTGTGAAGTCCCCATACTTATCTGTCCTGTAGAAGATGGGCCTACTTTTTCCCTCACAGTCATTAGCCTTTCAGCTAATAAGGAGGGAAAAACATCACCCTACCAATGATGAGAAGACAGTCTGAATCTGTGGTATTTGCATTGCTTAGTTTCCACAACATCTCTATGATCTGCTCTTCCATTTTTTCACATTTAGTGTTCATCTCAAACATGATTTCGAAACATGTGCCTATCTTAGCACTTTGGTCTCTGTGGTTCAATCTGCTTAACAAAGTGAGATGAGCTGGTAGCAAGAGTTTGAAGGGTTTTGTACATGAATGAAAACCACTGAGTCTTGATGGGGACTTTGTTCTTGTAACATTTGAACAAAAAGATTCAATCGGTAAGAGTGTTGGAGTACATGTATTAAGGAATTTACGTGATGTGTTTCTGAGGCAACTGGAAAACAAGACATTGCCCTGAGGGTTTGTTTAGCTGAACTGATCAAAAAGGAGGGAACAAGTCCGGCTGTGTTCCAACAATAGGCCAAAGTAGATGAAAGAAATGGCATTAGGGAGGGAGACAATGCTAGTCCTTTGGATGCTTTCTTTGCTTTCAGATCATTTGTTTTAAAAATCAAAGGGACTGGGTAGGGCAGGGTAGTGGATTCTCAAGCCCTTTTCTAGACATAGTCATTTAGATGTTTATCTTCTCAAAATGTTTCTTTTATACTTTTATTTCAGTTCTTTGATTTGGATTTTTTTTTCACTTAACAGTTATGAATTATTCAATTCCGGGAATGAACAGCTGTCTCTAGAACTGGGGCATTAACAATTCCTTTGCATTCCAGTTTCTGTAGCAGTTACTTCTTGTTCCCATTTGGTGGTTGCTCCTGTTTATGACAAGAACCCCATTTGGCACCTAGTGCAAAGTGCGCAGCTTCCATGATGGCAACAAAACCTTCCAGAACTTCAGTGTCCACCATGACTGGCTGAGAAATGGATGGGTTGTATGCAATGACACCAGACTTGAGGATCTTCCTAGCAGGGCAACCTTCCCTTCCTTTAATATTTCAGGCAAGGTTTCATCG